CCCCCCCCCCCCCCCCCCCCCCCCTTCGGTTTAGAACAATGATTCTTTTTAGTATGGGTTTAAACCGCATTCCCCCTAGAGCGTTGCTGATTTGTTAAGTTCACAAACTTGATCTTCCTCCTTGAAAAATCAAGCGCAACTCGAACTTTTTCCTTTTTAAGAAACAAACTAACTCTGAGACTTTGTAATCAACCTAGAAGGGATATTCTCAAGGGATGCTCTCAGATATGGGTAGTAGATCACTCGGGATTAAGAACAACCTAACAATCTTCTGGAAATCAGAAAAACACTCAAGGAAAGCATAAGGGTTTTAATAAAAAAACTCACAAGCTCTCAACAAGGTGCAAGATTTTTCACCAAAATCAAGAACTCATTTTTGCTCTAAAAAAATTCTCTTAAAAAACAACTTGAAAGACTCTCTGAAAAACAACTCAATGACTCCTCTTAAAAGTTCTATTGTTGTTTTTATATTTATAGGCAAAAATAATTATGCCCGAGTTTTGAAAGAGTTCTATTCAAAATAGGTAAGTTCATTCGGTCGTTCATAATTGAGTGATTAGTGCAATTAACCCCAAAATTAATTTTTTAAAAACACCTTATTTCAAAATTTATATTTTTTTCAATCACAATCATTTAACATAAAATTGGATCCAAAAAAAATAAAATCTCCGAACCTAATGACTTGTTGGTTCACTAGGTCTGTAAGTCAACTTACCAACCGAAAGAGAGGTATAAATCAGATGAAGTCTTTAACAAGTTCTTTTTCAACTCTCTTTCGGTTAGTTTCAAATATTTAATTTTATAAACTTTTTACATTGATGTGACTCACAAAATCATGTCAATATTAAAAATCCCTAATAATTCCCTCGATTTTAAATCATAAATTTTTTAATAGAATTTATTTACCTTCCAAAACAAAACAAACCAAAAAAAAAAATTGCTACTAGTATTTATGCTTATAATTGGAATAAGGGAGGAACTTTTTGGCTGCAAAAAATTGTGAGATTGAAAGCACTTAGAGTCTCTACTTGAGAGTTGAGTGATTCCTTTTTCTAGGTGAGTGAGTCCTCTACTTCAAAGAATGATTCCCCATCTATCTTAAAGGTGACTATCTCTTCTTTTAATGAGTGACTCTCCAACCATCCTTCTTTATTCTTTTTTTCATATTTCATCTCTTTACATATCAATACAATTTTCATCTTTTTCTATCAAAAGGTCTATAATCCTCAGAATTCTGCATTCTAATATTAACATGATGTGTGATTCAGAAAATTCATAACATAACAACGCAGACAAAAAAATATCTTACAAGAATTGTTTGGCAAAATAGCTTTACTTGAAAACTATTACATCTTCTTTATTTCACCTTATATTTGTGGGAAATAGCTTATGGACTTGAAATTTAATGCTTTCCATCGAAACCTTAATGTACTACCCCTTATGTTTATATAGATAAGATATCTATTGACTATATGTGCCAGCACATTGTCTAACTCGTAACAGGAATTTTAGCGTAATATTCAAAAACATATTTATTCATTTTCTTTCTAAACATCTTAGAGAAGAATAAAAAAGAGTAATATATGCACAGTACCAAAGTAATTAAGCTAGATTAGGAAAAAAAATAGAAATAGATCAAATTACTTGGCTTATTTAAGTAGACAGACAGCAAAGCAAAAGCAAAAACAAATTTTGGTTTTCTAAATGCCAAAAATTGAAATTGAAACCTAAATTTCTTTAGATAATTTGGAACTAAGGAAAGGTACATTGTTTGGTGCAATGCTCAAATTACACCTTAAAGTTTTTAACATTAAGTCATCAATGATCAGGTTAGATTTTCACAGATAAGAGCAGCTACTGTTCCACGAGTTAGAACTCCATTCCAGGAATCTACACCTTTACTAGATGTGACAGGTTCTTGACTTCTTGCCAAAGCTTCTGTTACATAAATTCTGATGAGATGAGATGAGATGAGATGAGATAACTAACGGGTGGAAATATTCTTACATCATATTTTTAGGTGTCCAAACACTTTAAAAGCATGAGCTAAAAGTGGATGGTGGTGTCACCAGTCCCTTCAGTCATGTCATCAAACATGCACAATTGAACTCATTATATGTCGAAAGATGCGTCGAAAATAATTCAAAAGGCCAAGAAAAAAGTTTAGTTGATCTTGGTTGAGTATAACTGCTAATAACTTCATATATATTCTATATAGTTAATTATAATTGCTTACCATTTAATATTAAGGAAAGAGATCCAAGATATATATATATATATATATATATATATATATATATATATATATCAAGTTGGAGTAGGATCACTAACCAATTACGGAAGGAGTGAATTATATCTCCACAGTTGGCTGGAAGAAAGATTCATAACATCGAAATATCAAGTAGAAGAATTAACAAAAGAAATACTTATTTAAAATTCAGGGTCTAAAAGGGTGAAAAGAGTATCAGAAGAAAAATGAGAAGTGACTGGAGAATTTTAAGAAAAACACACTACAAGAAATTATCTTCCTCATCATTTGGAACAAGAGACAGAATTCACGAGGACATGAGAACTTATTAAACAACAGAAATGGAAGTTCCCACTGAGGGAAGATACATAACAATCATGGACAAAGTAGTTCAGAACAGAATATACACATCAAAAGCTACTTATCTATATTGCATTCCGAACGGAAGGGACATAGTTTTCTTCCAATGTTATCCACTTGCTCCACCAAATATGAAGGGATAGTTCATGTTAGCGCAGATTTAGACTGTTGTAGGTCTCCCACGGTTTGCCATAAGACTGAAAGTCTGAAAATTGATGCTGCAAAAAAGACATATGCGGTTGATTATTATTATTATTTTACTCAAGTTTTTGACATAAAAATATATATAAATTAGACACTATTACTTCTTGCAAGTTTTTGATGATAGAATAGATCTATATTGTACATCTATGTTTTTTTTCGACATAAAGATTTTTCTAAGTGAAATTTTTTTTCTGATGGTGGATGCCTATATGTCTTTTTTTCGGAAAGTATATGTAGCTATTATACTGATTCACAAAAGTGTACAAATGATATACCTGTAAACAAATGAGGCCTATCCAGAAGACAAAACACAAATGATAGCTTCAAACCAACAGAATTCAGGAGGAAGTTAGAGTCCCGAACTGAAACTTCCAATTGAATCCCATCACAAATGAAGCAACACTACTGAATTGAATTCAGATGGATGCTTATATGTCACAGCACAATAACTCTTGGATTATTCGTTCAGACTAATGATACCCCAATTTTCTATTGAATCAGGGAAAAGTTTTTGCAAGTACCTCATGTGAAATTTCAGGATTGCACTGATAACTGAAGATGGTAGATGGGCTCCAACTGCCTGTAATCACCATAGAATCACTACCAATGTCTTCTCTAGTCCCAAAAAGCTGTTTCTCAGGTGGGTTTTGTTCTGGAGGATTCTTGTTGAGACCTTGTGTGCCTGATTCTTCACCAGTGTCTAGGGGACTCCAAGACCCTAATCGATTCAAATCATGATGATTCATTTCTTCTACACATTGCTTTGATTCACCAAGCATTCTCTTTTTCTTTGTTCTCTCCCTTGCCCATTCTCTTGCCTTTTTCCTCGATTCCCTTGATGCAGTTTTACGAAATCCTCGAGTTTTCCTCTCTTTGTTGCAAGAGGGTTTCCCCTTGGTGATAATGCTGGCTTGCTGGTTTTCGTCCAACGCGGACTCATCAAATCCAGATATAACTTCACACTCCGAGGTAGAAGATGCACTGTTTGCACCAACACTGCAGCTATGTTTCATATGAGGGAAGCCTCTTGTTAGCTCTTTAATGGCTTCTTTTGATTTCGTCAGCAACCATTCTACTGTTTTACTAGCCTTATCATATCCCAACATGTCTTGCAGGCCAAAAAATTTTCGAGCAACATCCAGGGACAATCGCATTCTTCGGTCTCTCGGTCCGTGAGCAGTGTTGATCTTGCTGTGCCGATCTTTCTTTGAAGATCTCTTCCTCGGAATCTGCTCGGTCGCGCCGTGAAATTTTTCTTTATGGCTGTTTTTCAGGTTACCAGCTTCTTTGTTGTCTGAAACCTCCATGTCAATTGTATTCTCAACGTCAACTACTATATCATCAGTTGTCAATTGTTGCTGTTGAAGCAGAAGGTCATGGAGGTGTTGTAGAAAAATGGTGTCATCTTCATAGTGAATATAAGGAGAAGGAAACTGGAACAAGTAAGAGTCATGGTCTTCTAGTTTGGAATTGCCATTGATATCATTAATGATAAAAGGGCTGTTGGGGACTGTTTGGCCAGTGTCAAATATATTGTTGTGGACATTGCTGTTAAATGGATACATTTACTAGGCTTTGAAATTGAACTTGGTCACTCTAACCCCTAGAGCTATGTGAGTTTGGAGCTTGAGAAAGACATATGCTTCAACGGAAAGTGTTGAAAGAGCTTCACCTTTTACATCCTTTCTGATGTAGCTCTCTGCAAGAAGGAACAAACACTTGAGAAAGACACATTATTCACCCTATGTTGGTAATTTTTCATTGCCCTTGTGTGTGCGTGTGTGAGTCCCTTTCTATTTACATATGCTAGTATGATCCCAAGATTGAGGACGACAGCCCGATACAATGTATGTGTATGCGTTGTATCTGTTCTTGCTTATGTTTGTGCTAGCTGATGTGTTAGTGTTCCACAGAGAGAGAGAGAGAGTGGACAGTCACCTTATTCAAGCGAGGACTAGAGCTTTGAGAAAGACAGAAAGGGATGAGAGAGAAAGGGATGAGAGAGAGAGAGAGAGAGAGAGAGAGAGCGAGAGAGAGAGATGTTGAGGAAGGGAGGGGTGTATGTGTTAAGTAGACTGGAAGTATCAATTTATTGGCGACAAAGAGTCATATTTTTCTACATCTTTACTTTTGGAGCAAAAGTGACTTTGGTTGTGTGCTTGGAGCTTTGGACAGTGAAAGGGAAAGAGAGAGAGGCAACACCGATATTGTGGGAAGTGAGTGGATAGGAAGCACTTCTTGTTGCGTCAATTCACGTGCTAGCAGGTGGGTGAGATAGAGAGATAGATCGACAGAAAATTCATTCCCCAACTTTCCAAACCCTCCTTTGCCCTTAATTCGCAATCACCCACAACATTATGCATGGATTCCATTTCCTCCCACCATTCTAGAGAGAGAGATATATATCGATGTATGTATACATGAATACATGTGTTTACTGTATACATAACAACTGGGGTGGGGGGGGAGAGAATGTATGTTGGTGGGTTAGGGTTGCTTTCTTCCTTTATGCGACTTGTTATGGTATGATACATATAACACCTACTCTTTGAAACTCCACGTGGCCATGTCTAACCTAGACAGAGGACAATGATTTCACTCGAGGAGATAACACAGTAAGCCTGCCCTGACTGTAAGGCAATGCTCCTTTTGACTGGATGACTCCAGGTCGCTTTCGATAAAAAGAGAACCCCCTTCCTCTCTTTCTCTCTCTGTCATGTCTATCTCTATAGGACTATACCAAGTCTATGTGAGAGTGTTATTGGGTGTGCAATGAATATCTGGTCTGGGAGCAAAAAAGCTACAACTCTCTCTCTCTCTCTCTCTCTCTCTCTCTCTCTCATGCAAGCGCCTATAGTCAAGGATGGATTGCTTGTGCCTGTACTTGCCACTGATGTTCACAAGACTTCCTTGAAACCCTAGCCAATCACCTTCTGCCAATACTATTACACCCATCTCATCTTGAGTATTTCGAAAATAGTCCTATCCACAATTGAAAGCCCTCTTTGCACCACTATTTTCTTTCCAAATATACGTGCCGCTCTCCTCTCTCTCTCTCTCTCTCTCTCTCTCTCTCTCTCTCAGTGATGCCCTAGCAGAGGCTGTCATCTTTAGGCTGACATTATTACAAGGACCACATGAAATGGTGAGCTGGGTTGGTCTGGGGTTGCTTTCAAGAATGGGATAACTATGAAATGAAAGCATTGATGAATGTACAAAACAAGGGTGAGTGACAATGAGAGCATAGAACCCTAAATAAGTGCTTTCATTTCCTTACATAAAGATACCATCTTTCATTACTTTAGTGTGCTCCCATTGTACCAAAGGCCATGAATGGTCAGAACCAGAAGTCTTCGAGACAAACATGCAATTAATTCTAGTGTACCTTTTTTTGGTTTCCACCATTACCTTAGATTCATTTGAACTTTTGTTAGGGGATGAATCATTTGCCATGGTTAGAAAAATTTGAGTGTCTTGCACAACAAAATTTGTTTTGTTCAGTAGCCTTATATGGTATTGGTGCATTATTTGGAAACCACAGAATTCTTGAGAACTCTATGCTAGTTACCAAAAAAAAGAACTTATCCTGTTTGGAAGGATTTGCAAGAGAAACAACTGAGCTACCTTTTTTTATTTTATTTTTTGTTGTAGAATATTCAGGTTTGCACTGACTACTTTCTCGAAATCTAAAACCAATTACCGTTGTTGGAAATTGAAAACAAAATAAATCATGAAGGGTATACAAAATCAACAGAAGCAAAAAAAAAAAAAAACTGCTATTCCAATTCATTCAAGAAACATGTCTATATTTCATCAAGAATGATCACAATATTAAGCACTACAAAGAGGAAGCTAATCTAAATTTTCAGCATGAACAATACAAAAAATAACTTTCAAAACTCACAAACAGAGCTTCAGCTTCAAAGACAGCTGCTGTGTTTTTCTCTTCAAAGATTACATCTCTAGTCATGATCATTTTTTTGGTAATGAGATTGTACAACTTGTATCCCATTGTTTTATTACCATACCCAAGAAAAATGCACTTTTCACATTTTTTTATCAAGTTTTGTCCTCCTTGTTTCGGGAATCTTCGCCTACACTAGGCTTGAATGAACACCAAACTTCATCTGGGGTCTTAAAACGAACACTTTTGGTTGAATATCGATTCAACAAGTACACTACACATGCTATGACTTCGGCCCAAAATTCGCTAGGCAATCTTTTTCCTTTCAACATGCATCTAGCCATATCAAAAATAGTCATATTTTTTCTTTCCGCAACTCCATTCAATTGAGGTGTGTAGCTTGGCGTGAATTGATGCACAATTTCATGCTCCTTGTAATAGTCATCAAATAAATCGGAACTATAGTTACCACTTTGATCAGATCTTACCCTTTTGATAAAATAGTCACTTTGCTTCTCAATAAGATTCTTGAACTCCTTAAAAACTTCAAACACTTCAGACTTCCTTCTTAAAAAATACACCTAAATCTTCTGGCTATAGTTATCAATAAAAATAAGAAAATAACGATTCTTACCATTTGACATAGGCTTCAAAGGACCACAAACATCGGTGTGCACAAGCTCCAAGGGTCGTGAAACTCTCCACTTGACTTCTTTTGAGAAGCTTAATTTGTGGTGCTTGCCAAGAATACACCCTTCACATAACTCAATCGGATGATCTATGTAGGGTAGACCCTTCACTATTTTCTTATTAGATAAAAGCTTCAAGCCACTAAAATTAAGATGTCTAAGTTTCAAGTGCCACAACCAAGAATCATCTTTAATAATAGCATTCAAACATCTGGTACCATCATGTTGAATATTCAAAAGAAACATTATATTCTTGAACATTTTCACATTAGCAATCAAATTATCATAAGCATCTTTAATTGTAAGATAAAGATTCTTCATGCTAATATCATAACCCTTTTCTAAAAGTTGTTTCAAACTCAAAATACTATTCTTCATATCCAGCACATAATAGACATCGAAAATAAAATCATGATTGTTATTATTGAGCTTAATAATAATTTTACCTTTGCCTTTCACCGGAATGTTGGAGGAGTTGTCAAAAGAAACTTTGCCTTGCGCCACTCCACCAAGTTGTACAAATATATGTTTCTTACCACAAACATGGTTGTTTGCCCTAAAATCAAAAAATCACACGTTGCCATTATCTTCCTCAGATCCATCGTAGGCCAACAACAAAATAGATCCCAAACTTGTGACAGTTGAAGCATTCGACATTCCTCTTATCAAAACATTGATTGTTGTAATTGTCTCTTGTTCTTGCTCGTCCTCTAACCCTTGAACTATAAGAATTTTGATTTCTTACATTATTAGTGAATTGACATCTTCCTCCTCTATCTCTATTAGTGTAGCCTCTTCCACGACTTTTGTAGCCTCTTCCTCTATTGTCATAACCACTACCTCGTATTCAATTACCTCTTCCTTTGTGAGACGTACTATATTGAAATTTTCTTTTTCCATCTTTCAAAGAAAGTTTGGATTAGAGAGCTTGTTCAAGAGAACTTGAAGTCCTATTATTACTACATTGCTGATGTATTTCCAATGTCGCCATCAATTCATCAACGCTCGTAGTCTTGAAATCCATGGATTGCTCAATGGTTACAACAACATGCTCAAATTTTGGAGTTAAAGTTCGTAGTATTTTTTTCATAACTCAAACATAATTAATATCTTTTCCATATCTTCGCATTTGATTCACAATCACCAAAGTTCTTGAAAAATACTCTGAAATTGACTTGGCTCCATTCATATTCAACTCTTCAAATTCACTTCACAATATTTGAAGACGAACCTGAATTATTTTATCAATGCCTCTATGCATATTCTTCAAAATTTTTCAAGCTTACTTCGAGGTGGTGGCAGAAGAAATCTTTTCAAAAGTGTTATCATCAATACATTGGTAAAATAGGAATAAAATCTTCTTATCCGTCTTCTTTGATTGCTCGTTGTAACTTTTTTTAATAATTTTTCAAAGATCTTGTGATTATAACAACACCTTAATTTGAATACTCAAATTTCCGTAGTTATCTTTCCCCAATTTGGAAAATTGGGGATGAAACACATTACTCATAGTGGCCATAACAAAAACCCAAATAGCAAACCCTTTGTTCAACAAAAAATCTCAAATTTCATAACTAGACTCTGATACCAACTTTGTTGGGAATTGAAAGCAAAATAAATCACCAAGGGTACACAAAATCAACTAAAACAGAAGCCAAAAAAAAAATTGCTACATCAATTTCACTCAAGGAACACCTCTATATTTCATCAAAAATGATCACTTTATCAAGCAATTCAAAGAGGAAGTTAATCTGAATTTTCAGCAAGAACAACACAAAAAATAACTTCTAAAACTCACAAACAAAGCTTCAGCTCCGAAGATAGCTGCTGTGTTTTTATCTTGCAACAACATAGATTTTTTCTCTCTGATTTTTCTTCTATTTTTCTGCATAAACACACTCTGTTTTGGTAGCAACTCTTTGCCCTTTATATACCTCTACTTTCTAGTCGAAAACCCTTGAATCTGGTCACT